AGTTATTATAACAGATAGTGATTAAGAGCAAGAAGTGATGATTTGTGTCCTGATGAATTCATTACTGTTAAACATTAGCAATTAGTCATAACCTCCCCAATTGAAATCATTTAATCAAATTTATGTTAATCCAGCACAAGAACAAATTTAATAATCAATTTTCATGACACAAAGGGGTTCTTTGGAATTATTTATCCAGTTATTTATTCATCAGCAATTTTCTGTTCAAACTATTAAAAATGAATAATCAGTGTCTTAAGACTTTTTTAATCATGGAGCAAGGCAATTTTACCAAGTTGCATGACTTGCAGGGCTAAATTAATGTCTGTCTTTTCTTTTTTTGTGGGGGGGGAGGTAAAGTGAAATTATGTATTTAAGCTTCTTTGTAGAAAATATTAGGATTTCATTTTAGTTAAATTTAAATGAACATGAGGTGCTTTTTTGTTTAATACATTAGCTTTCCCTGTTTGGAAACATTATTGTTAATACTGTACTGTGCTGTCTGTAATTTGCCCTTATTTTGTACATGAAAAAGTAAAACATTGCAGCCAGGTACAGACGAGGGCTGGGATACCTTTTTAAAATGTTAGTTATAAAGCCATTAGTTTATTTAGTGATATGGCAATTATGGGTTATGTTTTTTCTACATTCTTTTTGAAAAGAACTTGTCCTACTTTGTTTCTCTTATGAAGAGTTGTTGAACACATGAAAATGTCAAGATAGAAATTCTAGATTTATCTGAAATTAATAATAGACTAACAGATGTAGAAATTGCTACCACCACCTATAGTAGAGAATGGTGCTTGTTTTACTTAAGTAAAAAAAAAAAAAGTATGATGTGGGGCCTTTTATTGTCTAACGTGATTTATGTCAATTAAGACAGTTCTTTGTAAATATCAGCTTTTGTGTGTTTGTGTATTTGAATTACTGTGTTAATGTAGGGCCAGGTTCTGATATCTTACTCAAATTGAATAGTCCCATTTAAATCCAGTGTGATTGCTCAAGGAGCTAGATACTGTTCTTCTTGAGTATGAGTATTGCAGTCCAGCCCCTAAAAATTAATGTGAGTCACATAAGCAGTGTAACAGTTTGGTTTAGCTTCTTAAAAGTATGTTAAAATGAATTGGTGGACAAATGTTAAAAATATACATAGTATCTTTAAATTCTTGATTTTTTTTTCTTGTTTTGTAATTGAAAACTCTGCCTAACAAACTGCAGATACTATGTAAATACAAACATTGCCTTTATCTTTCATAATGGTGAGAGTAAGTAATCATTTGATACAATTTACCAAGGATTGCGGTAGATTCTCCATCACTGACAATTTTTAAATCAAGATTTATTTTTTTAAGAGATACACTCTGGGAATTATTTTGGGGAAGTTCTCTGGCCTGTGCTATACAGGAGGTTAGACTAGATGTTCACAATGACTCCTTCTGGCCTTAGAATCTATGAAACTATGAAAAGGACAATGTGTGCCTGCAGCAACCACAGAATGGTATTTTGACAAAAACACTGGTGATGTTGACTTTCCTGTTTCCCTCCCCTTATAGCAGGGGTTCTCAAACTGGGGGTCAGGACCCCTCAGGGGGTCACAAGGTTATTACAGGGGGGGTCATGAGCTGTCAGCTTCTAGCCCAAGCCCCACTTTGCCTCCAGCATTTATAATAGTGTTAAATATATAAAAAGTGTTTTTAATTTATAAGGGGGGGGGTCGCATTGAGAGGCTTGCTATGTGAAAGGGGTCACCAGTACAAAAGTTTGAGAACCAGTGCCTTGGGTGGCCAGGTGTCCGGGTTTTGACCGGAAAGTCCGGTTGAAAAGCGGACCTCCTCAGTGTCCAGTCAGATCTACTGACCAGACACCCAAAGTCCAGTTACTGCAGATGGGGAGGCATTGGGTCATCACTTGCACCAGCCCCTACTCCGCCAGGGCCACCTCCTACCTGTGTTGGGCAGCTGCAGGTCCCAGCCCTGGCTCTGCAGGTGAGTCCCTTTGCGGAGGGAAGAGCGTGAATGGGGGCAAGGCCTTGGGGGAAGAGACGGGACAGGGGTGGGACCTGCAGGAGTGTCCATTTTTTAAATATTACAAAGTTGGCAACCCTATTCCTTTGTGGTCCAACGTGAGAGGGCATCCTGATCAAGCTAGAACAGTGTTTCCCAAACTGGGGTTCGTGAACCACTGGGGGTTCGTGAAATGTTACAGGGGGTTCCCGTGAAAAAATTCCCTAATGGCGGACAGAGCTGTCCCTAGGGCCCCTGGGCAGCATGGGGCCAGCAGCCTGGAGCCCCTGGACTTCCAAGAGCTAAGCAGATCAAAGCAAGCACATCTATCACACTGAGGAGATTTAAACTTCAAAACTCCTTATAAGAAATGGAAAGGGAGGTGGATATTTTTTGCTGTTTTTAAAAGTAAATAGGCAGCTAGTATTGTTTTTTAAAATTATTATGAAGAACAAGTTTAAGCTTTGTTGTAACGTGCGTTGTTTGCCTGGACTGCTCAAGTCCTGAATGCTTGTGTAGGAAGAACTCTTTGAGTTGGCTTCTTAAATACCTTCGCACTGTCACACATCTGATACTCCTTGATGAAGCATAGGAGCCTTGTCTTATAACAGGCTTATTCAAAGTGATACAAGCTACGAAAGTGAGATCTTGGAAGAGTGTTGCCGTTTTCATAACGTAATAAAATTACTGTAATGATAAATAATTAACAAATAGTGTGTAATAAGCATGTCATAAAAACAAATTTTATACTTCCAAGATCACTGCTTTTATAATTTATACTCAGGTAAAGGAGAAAATCCCTGGAAATATTCATTTTTAGGAGGGGGTTCGTGAGACTTGACATTTTAGTGAAAGGGGTTCACAGGTTGTTAAAATTTGGGAACCACTGAGCTAGAAGATGGCTCGCTAAACAGGAAGTTTGGAAACTCTTAAAGGGTATTTTCTGTACAAAAGTGTCTTAGGTAGCAAGTATAAAGGACAAACTTTTAGCTGTGGAAGATATAATTATAGTTTTGGATATGCATTTGTTCAGAAATTAGTAAATGTTTTTAATGATGAATATAATTCAAAGAGGGAAGTATTATATTTACCATATTTTGAAATAGGTGAGTTAAATCTATGATGGCTTTCTTTTCTTCCTTTTATTAAACTGTTTGAGAGTCTCTTCAGTTTCTGTTGTGCATAAAAAATGCTTGTACCAGAATCCAAAACCAGCCTAGAATGTTATTTCATACCCTGCATGTTTGAGTCCGAGAGAGAAAGAAGTACACTTCAGGTTTATGTAAGCAAATGCCTCTTTGGAAGGGTGGGAATCTGTGGTGATCAAGAAGATAGATCCCCTGAAAATGATCACTTATTACTCTAAAATGCAAATTCTGCTATCTAGAAAAGTTTGATGCTGAAAACCAACTGTTTTGAATCTGGTTTATTTATTAATGTCCCTGGCACATTACATGAAAAGCAGTACACATAAACAGATACAATTGGAAGGTATGTTTTGGCAGTGAGTGGTTTCTTGCACTTGGCCCATGAGCCAGATCCAGCCTGCTTGATGGGCCTATGACAAACTCAAATGATATTGAATTCAAGTTTTCATTTCAAATTTCTAGGCTTCATGGTTGCGAAGATACAACCATCTGAATGTGTCGGTGTAACTTTGTCTAGCTTGAAGCAACTATTTTCCAAATTTTGACTTTTACTTTCATCTTGTTGAGGTGTTACTTCTGAAACCTAACAATGACACTTTAAAAACAAGAAAATTTAAAATAATTTGGGTGTACAATTTTGCCCAACTTGCAGTTACTGTAATTGTGCATTGAAATTGGGTAATGCACGTGCCACTAGTCGTGTATATACAAAGGGCAGAAGTGACACTGATTTTAGAAGTGCTTTGTATCCTTTTTTCCTGCCGAGTGCAACAGTAGCTTTATTAAGGGCCAAATTCTGCTTTCAGTTACACTGGTACATCTTCCACTACAATAAATGAAAGTTGCCTCCGTACAACTGACTAAACAAATTGGCTCTAAAACAATAGTTATTACTAAGGACCATATTCTACCCATAGTCTTTGTGCAAATCTCCCACTGGGCCTGATCCAAAGAGGTGCTAAACCTTTGTAACTCAATGATAGTAGTAGGTAGTCAGCAGCACTCAGTATTGTGGTCGTTTTTATTAATGGGAGATTGGCTGTCTGTTGATTTAGGATATTACCCTAATTTAGTAGTTCTGTTCCACAGACTATAATAAAAAAATGTATTTTGGCCAGTGCTACAGAATAAATTTGATACTCTTTCAGTAAGGGCTCTGTAAATGTTTTGATTTCCACAACATGTAAAAAAAAATTGTTTAAGGACTGGTGTTATAGTACAAAGTCAGTCCTGAAACTTTAGGTCAATAAGAGCAACTCTGCTCACCTAGCTCGTCAGAGAAGTCCCACAGTAATCAGGCTACTCACATCAATAACACAAACAGAATTTGGCCCCCTATGAACAGGGGCGGCTCCAGGCACCAGTGCAGCAAGTGCGTGCTTGGGGCGGCAAGCCGCGGGGGGCGACCTGCCGGTCGCTGTGAGGGCGGCAGTCTGGCTGCGTTTGGCGGCATGCCTGCAGGAGGTCCGCCGGTCCTGCAGCTTCTGCGGCAATTCAGCGGCGGGGACGCTGAAGGCACGGCACCGGCGGACCTCCCGCAGGCATGCTGCCAAATCTATGTGACCAGCGGACCGCCCGCAGGCGTGCTGCCGAAAGCCGCCTGACAGCCGTGCTTGGGGAGGCAAAAAACATAGAGCCGCCCCTGCCTATGAAAATCTTGCAAGCATTTTTCTTAAGCGGGAAGGAAGCGTATTTAGATCTGGATAGACACTTATCACAATGAATACACACTCTCTTGAAGCTGGATTATTTTGCACAAGTCATGCAAAAGCTGTATGCATAGTATTATTTGCCATACCAGCAATCTGAGCATGTGCATTATTGATAATTGGTTTTTTTGCTTCCACAGATTTCAGGAAACCTTACTGTGCCTTGGATTACAGGGTGTTCCAGAAAAAGAGCAGTAAGTACATTTCACTTGAAGCAGCAAATGGGCCAAGTAAAGGCATGGAAAAACATTAGAATTTTTTTTAATGACCTCTGGAAAAATGTCACTTCGAAATGTTTTAGACTTCGAAATGTTCAGGCGATGGGATGTATTGTGGTTCACAGTGAAATAGTGGTTGGAAGGGTGGGTGTTTATAGAATGTACATAGAGGGTAAGATAGATATGTTGTGATCTCGTTAGTGAGAAGGTAAGATATGAGAGTAATCGTTCTTAGCCAATATATGAAGGATAAGAGATGAGATAATGATACAAAGGGAGAGCAATCTGGAGGAGAGTGTGTTCTGATGTGGGTGGATAATGGTTGCACATGTTGTGGAGTACCACAATATGGAGAGTACGGGATAGTATCAAGGGTACTTTATATAGGAACATAGCTCATACTAGAAATGTAGAAAAGATACCGTATGAGGCTATAAAGGTGCTTTGGGGCTGTAATAGGATGGTCAGGGATGTGAGAGTGCACAGTTAAAAAGTTGTCTGTTAAACCAGAAAGGACGGTTAACTTCGTTTTCTCCCCATCCCTCACTTTTTATAAAAGACAAGTAAGTATTTGCCTGTTTGCTGTTAATGACCCATCCAATTTGACTGCATCCAGTGTTCCCACATAGAGTAAGTATTTAATTAACTCAAAATTGAGCTGGCTCATTTCTGTAGTGGCTGCTAGCACCTACAGGAGGCAATTTCCACAGCCCATTTATCTCAGACATGGCTTCATAAACACACGTTTCATATCTTTACTACTCGTCACAAGAATGTTTTTGCTTCAAGGTTTGTCTTCACTGCAATGTTAGCCTGAGTTATCTACACTTCAGTTAACTACTCTCGAGTTTCCTTAGTTCAAATGAGCATGGTAACACTGCAAAACAACATCTGAGCAGCACCAAGTGGTAGTATGAGCAGCACAGAGTAGCTGCATCATTAGCAGGACTCAAGCTTTTTTGTAAGCTCTCGGGCAAAGGAGCCATGTACTACTCTGTATTTTGTACAGTGCCTACAACAATGGGGCCCCGTTCATGGTTGGTTGGCACTACCATAATAGGAATGATTAACAATTCATATACTCTCTGATGGGCCAGGCAGCGCTTGAGCTGGAGATTTTTGTGCATGGGGGGGGGGGGGCTGTTTTGGGGGAGCACTCAAGTTATATTTCTAGCTAACACTGTAGTGTAGAGAAGTCCTCGGTCTCCTGAGCTGACGCTGACTGCATGTGTATGTACATATTTTTAAAAAATAATTCTCTGAATGAAACCAAAACTGAAGTAGTTCTTCTCCTGATTTCCTACTGCTGGAATGTGCACATATTCTCTGGCATTATTTTCCTGGGGAATAGTCGTGTTCCATAAATGTCAGGATGGATTAGTTTTGTGTAATGGCCTCAGAAACCATTGTTTTCCTCATGTACCACTGTGAAGATTGGAGTTACAGTCCCTAGAGTTAAGCATCACAAGGTTGGTGGTGAGGTGCTTGGCTCTGGCATTCACTTCCCATCTAATCAAAAAACTCATGTTTTATATATATAAATATTAAAAAAAAAAAAGTGAGGTTTGGGGCCCATGGCAAGATCTCTGTCTTCTGATAGGCTACTTCATCAGGGGTAGAAAGTTGAGGGGTTCTTTTATACTGTAGGTTTAACTTGTCTGTATGTCCCTTCTTTGGCTTTCATTACTGCTTTGTACAGAGAAGCTAATTTGTTTTACAGCAGTTTGCATAATTTACAGCAGTCAGTTTCAGAAACAATGTAATAGTAAGATACTTTAAAGTCGCTATTAGCAGTCCTTCCTCTAAGTCAGAATGCAGTATATTTTCAATGGTAGAATAACTCTATTGACAGACTGATGTCACAAAGAGCAACTGGGAAACCCAGTGGAGTGAAAAATAGCTCAGCACAGCTCTTTAGAAATGCAGAATAAGACTTTGTTTTCATTTAAAAAAAAAAAAAAAAAAGCCCTGCTAATGGAAAGAGCAATGAAGACCGCTCCAAGTGAGCTCTCTCAAAATGAAACTTTTTACCTACAGTTTACATTACTTTTAAACTAATTTTAGAATGTTCTTGTTCTCCTAAATCTTAGATAATCCTTTAAATAAGCTTTGAAATATACTTCTGTTTTTATTTATTTTGCTTTATTTCATTTTAATTTACATGAAATGAAATCTTAGATTGTAGATTAGCTTGTCATGTACAGGAACTAAAATGTGCTGATGTAGATCCATAATTTTTTAAGTTTATGTAGTAACTGTAAATCTGCTCTGGAAATACAATAATGTGTGTGCCAAGAATGCTGTTTAGTAATCTTGGTTAACTATCTTGATATTAATTTGTGTTGTTAAATAGCCTGAATCAGTGCAATTGAAGATGCTTTGTAAACCATTTTTGACTGTTGCAGGTTTACTAGTCTAATGAATGACAGCAGTTTCCCATCTTTCACATAATCTCTCAATTTGCACAAGGCAAATTGTATTCTAATGAGATCCAAGAAAAGGACAAAATAATTTGTATTTGTCTGAACATGTGGTAGGAAAACAAAATATCTAATTTTGTGTTGTGATTCAGAATAATCTAGGGAAGGGTTCTAAATAGAGTTGTGTAGAGAGAAATTGGAGAAAAATAGAAAGCTGTACAGTGTTAGATAGGTATTTAGGGTTTACAGTTGAATTTCATTTGAAGTGGTATTTCTGGCAGCCTTTAAACTTACGGGTTGTCTCCACATGGAGTTGTTCCTGATTATTCAGGAACAAGTCTATGTGTGGACAAACCCTCAGTTTATCTCTAAAGAAAAAAAATTACTTTGCAATCGAGAAAAATAGTAGGCTATATGTAACATCTGTTTAATTCAAATATCTGAAACACTTGGGAGGTAATATATTAAACATCCAACACCCGATCCCTTCAGTTAAGGGATAAGAAAAGTTTACAATCCGCATCTGTCCTCCGAGGAGACCTCCCAGGACAGAGAAGAATTGACACTCCTCGTGTGTCTCAGACAGAAAATTTTTATTTAAAAGAAAGCAAAAAACCCTAATGCGTTGTTTGTTTGTGAAAGGTGCCCCGAGTAGCAGAGGGTTCCTTTTCATGTCATTATAAATTAAAAGAAATAATCACAAAAAGGATACTTGCCCGTATACACACACACACATACTTGGTAGATCACCTTTAAAAAACAACAATCTCTTACTGATAAAAAATGAGGAAGGAAAGCAAAAATAGAAAATGTTGTTGTGAAGTTTCCTTGTAGACTTATGTCATTTGACTTTCTGCTGTCTGTAATAGTATCCACAGGCCCTTCTGAGGAACTGTTCTAGAGTCAAAACCACAGTCTTTTTCCATACCTGTTGCTGTAGATCGGAAATCATATTGGTGCTTCCTGTGAAATCTGTTTCCTTTGAGAGTTTTAACAATAATATAAGTAATTGGCAATTTACAGAAGAAAAGAAATAAAACTGTTAGAAATTCAATGCGTGGATTATATATGCTGATGCTTCTGTCATTTGTGTACACAAGTGGCAAGTTTGTATATGCACGTGTGGAGGACCTGGTATGGAAAACAAACCCTGGGAATTGAGATGAGAAATGTAGTTTCATCTAAACAACTAATTTTTTCTTATGATATACAGATTTAACACTAGCCACTTCATCAGCTTTTAAACTAGGATTTTCTGTGGCAGATACTAGGGTTCATTTTGAAGTAACTCCTACATACTTGGTTTCTTGCTTGCATTTTAATTGAATGGCATGATGCATAAATTGCACTCATTCTAAAAGAATATTCACAAGTCTTTCAGTATGGTTTTAGGTTTCCATCTGTAACAAGTCTTCAGAAGGAGAAATGGAAATGACATATATAGTCAGATCTTCAAGCTCAGGACACCATGTGGGAAAGCAAATATGGATTAAAGCCACCTTTGTCCTCCTTTGGCATCAATAAGAGCAGCCTCAGAACTGCTGTTACACGCTTTGGATGCAGTGGCCCCAGGGGGGCTGCTCTGCTGGCTGGAGATTGCCAGAGGGCCTCCTCGACACATTCCTGACAAGTCTCCTATGAGGAGAGGAGGCTGGGAGTGGATGGCACAGAGTTAATGAATTATGGGTGCTCAGCACCTTCAAAAATCAGAGCATTTGTGGCCTTGCCTAGCTATGGACTGAATTGCCTACCTTTAAACATTCAGGTTCGAAAATTTTGGCCAACGTGTACCCATGGGATTTGTCCTCATCCTACCTGAAAACATACCCTCTGTTCATTCTTTCTGGTCTTAAAAACTTTCCCTATGTGGCTGAGTTAGCTGGATATGTAAGTGTAGTTCAGCCTTACATCTCTGTACAGTGGCATGAATATAACCCTCACTGAAGAGAAATGCTTTTAAGTGTTCCAGTGAAATTTTTTTGATTTGACCAATTCTTGACTGAACAATCACATGCTCTGTATGCAAAGTTATTAGAGTGATGGCATTGGATGTGTGCATCTCATGCAATGGTGCCAGAGTTTTCTCTAGCGGTGGCCATGTCTGCTCACTGATGTTCCTTTGCTCCGAGCCGAGGCTATAAAGGGGTGGAGCCGTCCTGCTCATCCTTCAGGTCTTTCCTACCATCCGTGGTCGATCGGAGCATACTGTCTGTTTGTTCCTTCAGTGGAGATTGCAGTAAATGTGCACTTTTTAGTTAGTCCTACTTAAAAAGTAGGAAACCATCCACAAGTGCCACGTACCTTAGTAAATAGAAACATTTCTTTATCTGGGTGGGTATGCCTACACTGCAATTAAACACCTGTGGTTGGCCTATATCAGCTGACTCAGGCTCACAGGGCTCGGGCTGTGGGGCTGTAAAATTGTGGGGTAGATGTTTTGGGTCCAGGCTGGACCCTGGGACCCTCCCCCCCTTGCAGAGTCACAAAGCCTGGGCTACAGCCCAAGCCTGAACGTCTACACTGCAATTTTATAGCCCGCAGCCTGAGCGCCGCAAG